GGGTGGGAGGGGTGGCGGTACTAAGACATTGCCTACCGCAAGCAATGTCGACCGAGAAGAGAATGGTCGGTGATTCGAGCAAGCTGGAGAAGCGAAAGTTGTTTTGGAATGTCAGTTATGGGCACCAGTTACAACATACCCCTCCCTCGACCTACCCGAGCAGCAAGTGCGCCGGCGTCCGCCGCAGTCAGTGCGGCAGCCGCGGCTGGCGGGGCGGCCACAGCGAAGTCGACCGCGGGGCGGGCGGCCCTGGCCGCCAGCTCGTCAGTAGCGGTGCCGGCCCCGTCACCACCGGCTGCGGTCACCTCTTCGGTCGCCTCACAGAGGGCCGCCAGGTTGGCCGTGTAGATAATGCCCGTCCGTTAAAACGGTCGCAGGCCGCCGCCACCCCAGCTCAGTCGACGTCTCCAGCAACGTGGGCTTTGCGGCAGAAGGCCTGGGGGAGCTAAGGGCGGCCGTCATGGAGCTGGTATTGGCATGTATGAATGGATAATGGATTAAAAGCTACTTGAAATGGTTGAAAGTGGAAGGTGGCGTTCAACCCACCGACTTCTCACTTACATTGGAGAAAACAAGCTTCACAAAAAGACACACGCGTGGTCATGACTATACACAACGAAAAAAGTTGTGAGCAGAGTGGGATTCGAACCCACGCCTGTTTCCAGACCACGACCTGAACGTGGCTCCTTGGACCGCTCGGACATCTGCCCATGAGTGTAGGTCCTATTATAGTAATTACAACATATTTTTTAATTTAGTGGCACAGCAGCTTAGTATGTTCCTTCCGCACGAATCCAGAGGCAACGCGCGCCTTATCCCACTCCAGCACGTCAGCGTGACGACGGAAAAGCTCACGCACGCGCGGTAGGTTGGCCACCAATCTTTATCGCGGGAGGCAAGCCAGCCAATTCGTAGCCCGGGAAGTCCGAACGATTTTGACAGAACTCCAAGAGAGACCGCGGAGGAGTGCGACTATGGGCAGTGAAGAATTCTGCCAATATGAGAGAGGAGTACAATGTTCTCGGGTGTTTTGGTGGGTGTGGGGTTGTGGCCAAGCTGCCCCCAATTTGGAGGAAGGCACTAGCGGAATTTCAACCTTTTTGGGGGTGTTTGTTGATTGATCTGGCGTGACTTGGCAGCAGTATTGGTGGCTTCCGCAGTGTCCTTGAGACCCTCAATCAACCATGGCCGACGAGGGCAACCGAGCACAGGCGCTCGAGAAGGAGCGCGAAAGGATGATGGAGGACTTCAAGAAGCAGAAGGAGAAGATTATCAAGGTCGGCTTGCTGGCGATGGCGCTGCTGGTGGTTCGGCGCATTCCCGCAGCCCGGAAGCGTGCATGCTCACCTCGCCTTGCTCTGACTTCTATTCCTGTTTAATGCGGCGGTCGGCCTGCATATGGCCCGCCTGATACCAGGACTCTGAAGTGAGGATCGGCTCAGACAAGTTTGTTACCCAGAGCGACCAGGCCCAGGCCGAGCTCGTGAAGCACACGGTCGGCTTGGTGAAGCTTGAGGATTTCAAGAAGATCCGGGCAAACCTAGACAAGAAACGACAAGAAGAGATTGAGCGTGAGCTCTCAAAGTCGTGAGTTTAAAGCTGCCTTCGCACTTGCGCCGCCACAAAAGTAGCACACCTTTAATGACGCGCCGAAAGCCAGGCGAGCTCCTCAAAACGAAAGAAAGAAAACAAGTCAAAGTCGAAGCTTTCGTTTGCAGACGATGAAGCTGACCAGGACGGCGGTGAGTAATTATTGTTTGCTGTAGCGAAATACCTGCTCCACGGATGAATATTTCTTCTTCTTCATGATCGATGTGTGAGGATCTTTTCAACGAGGATACCAACCACCATCGAGCTCTGATTGACTTTTTACCTAATCTTCTCTCTGAGGGGCTTACACTGTCGTGTAGTTTGAGGAGGGAAATTTTGATCTTCTTTACTAATATTACCGTCAGCAGACACAGCTGTTCCGAAACGTGTTAAGGCCAAGAAAGATCCGACTGTCGATACAAGTTTTCTGCCCGACAAAGAGCGAGAAGAGAAGGAGCGGAGAGAGCGCGATATGCTGAAACTAGAGTGGCTGAAAGAGCAAGAAAAGATAAAAGGTAAACACCTGCCCCTTGCAATCATATTATCTTCTGACGAATGTTGGCGTTATAGCTGAAAAGATTATGATTACATACAGTTACTGGGATGGCACCGGGCATAGGAAACAAACCGAAGTAAGAACTCTATTTTTGAGCTCCGGTGTAGTCTCATAAGTTCATAGTGTAAGAAAGGAGATACGATTGGTCAGTTCTTGGAGGCTATCAGAATTAGCTTGCCTGAACTTCGAACAATGAGCGTTGAGAACTTGATGTATATTAAAGAGGATCTAATTATACCTCACGTACGTACCACAAAACATTTGATCACAATTTTAAAGAAGCTGCATATCAGACATACACATTCTATGATTTCATTGTTAACCAGACACGCGGAAAGTCCGGCCCGCTTTTCGCATTTGACGTGCATGATGATGTCCGGCTCGTTAACGACGCAAGAATCGAAACTGAAGAGGTTAGTTATGCTTGAGCCAATACATGGCTTTTCCACTCTTTTCTTCCATGCCTTGCCCTACCCCTTCCTTCCCAAAGCTTAGGCTGATGTCTCTTTGCACCAACGCTTTTAAGTCTCACGCAGGCAAAGTGGTTCAACGCTCCTGGTACGAAAAGAATAAGCATATTTTTCCAGCAAGCCGTTGGGAGCTGTTCGACCCCACAAAGACATTCGAGAAATACACAATAAAAGGCTGATTAATTACAGACTGCCCGCCCTGCAGAAGTGAGTTGTATGAGAGTTTGGAAAGAAAGCAAAGTAGGAACTGGGAGTTTCCCTGTTTCTGGGCCGTATAGCTCAATGAAGTTTATGAGAATAAACCGATCTAGGCGAGCCTGTTTGCCTCATATAGCAGGGTTAGGTTTCAAATTATTAAAGGGCAGGTATTAGGACAAAGTTGAACCGCCAACCGAGTCGCGACACTGGTGTAGATTTTGAGTGTGTCAGAGGGCAGTAATTCTTACAGGCCATCCCCTTTGAATAAAGAGCTGTGAAGCAATGCCGCTTGGTACCCTGGTATTAAGCCCAAGCACATCTCAGTTCATTTGCCCTTCAAGGAAATATTTCGAGACTGAAATACCCAAGAGGAGCGGGTGCAAGGATCGGTGACGCCAAATTTTTTTTTGGGGTTTGTCTTGGCTGGAAGAAAGGTGACGATGACCACAACCAGCGCCCCAAGCTCCGAAGATGATCTTCCCAGCATAGCGGCCGGGATGCCAGACTATCTCTCCTTGAAAATACGAAATATCCAAAACCAAACACCTCAGGGTGCCAATTGTGCTTCACATTCAGCCACACCTATTGTCATATCAGATCCGGCTGATCTCGATCTGGCCCGCTGTGGTTTCAGTGTTTTTACATTCATAAAGGTGAAAGCTAGTCATGGGCATCACCCCAAAAGACAGAAAATCACTATTCGGAATCTATCAGTAGTTTTTTGCAACGGATAATCGTGTTGATTACGTCCGATCCTTCCTTAGGAGCTTTGCTTTCACATATTTATGCCGATGGTTGTCATATGTGCGTTCTTTAGCAAGCGCTTCAGGCTTATCTCCAAGAATCACAATTTTATACCTGAAAAAACGGGCCTCTGGCTTGTTATCCAACAATGGGTAGGTGCCATTAACGCTTAATAGGCGTGTTCCTATGTAATTTCGAATGGTACCTGCAATGAATTCAACTTTACATGACCAACACGATCGCCCCTTCCACCACCTCCGCTACTTCATCCATCACTCTTTGATTTTAGGTCGGCTATACTTGTGCTGTGGTAGCGAACGTCCTGTTTTTCGTTGCCGAGCCGGTCACTTTTACACTCTTTCAGCTTGTTCTCCTTGATGCGGTCGTCCTAAACCGAATGCTGATAGTCGCTTCAATGCATGCAGTAATATTGCTGGTTTTGAACTTGGCTTGTACTGAAACTGTTTTTAAGTTTACCAGCCCGGTCGAATACAAAGAGGTTTCGACTCAAATTATCCCGCGTAAGCTCCGTTATGTGGCGGAATATGCCCGTGTTCCCTAATATCTGTCATTTATATCTGAATAAGTCGCTACTCGCTTCAAACGCCAGGTTCTGTCAGGGTGGTCACGCCCAGACAAAGCGCTGTGCGAGACGCAGCTTAAACTTTCGGCCGTGCGCCAGCGGTGTGATCTCGCCGGGGCCGAGTTCGTTGCAATTTCTACACGCGGCAAGGATGGGACCGACTGTACAGCATCGCCAAGCGCGGTGAAAGTAGGTCTTAGTGGTCGCGCTTTGCGCCCACATGAGCCAGTACACACAGAAAATGAGCCAACCCTTGTTACATCCCGAGCATGGGATGTCGCCCTTGGATTCTTGGGTGAAGCCTGCACTTTTGCTAAGGGGTTCAGCCGGAGGGCGTCGCTTATCCTTGCTGTTGTTCATGCTTTCATACCTCTTGCCGTTCTCATTATCGATCGCCGATACGCAAAGGTAGAGTAGTTGCTATAATTCTTACCAAGAACTTACAGCTTCTATTAAAAGGTTGTCAACCCACCAGTTGAAATCGCTATTCACCTTTCACAATTTATTGTTTCTGTTTTCTTAATGAGTGCGAATTTTGCCCTTATGGGAGTGGCGAATGCGGACTTTCAAAGGTACACACGCACACACATACACACACTCTCTGTCTCTCTCTCGCTCTCACTCTCTCATTCGCTCTCTCACACACACATACACGGACACCAACGTATGCGAGCAAAAACACGCTCACGCACGTGGATAAGGACACGGACACATTCGCAAGCACTTACAATCGCATGTGATCGAGCTTTAATTTTTATATAAACAGGAGAGAATTCTTATTCTGGCGCCTCAATACCATGTTAGAGGAGGGTTTGTGGTCAAAAGACGAAAATAGCAAAACGCAGATTGCAATGACAGTTCCAAAGAACCTCATCAGTTGGTGGTACGAATTGAATGTGACCTCAAATGTGTTCACCTTATCTTGCAAGGATCATTCGTCGCTGTTTCCAGGATTGGGGGTTAACCTATTACAGACGAATCCAGCTCTACATAGCCATTTTTTCCTCGGTTAGTAGAAAGTACATCCCCACACTCTTGGTTTTACTGACGCATTTTAGTTCATCCTAATTATATTCTCGGCGTCAATCTACCTTCTAGCCACAGGCATATCTGTGGACACGTCTCTTCTCTGGTGAGATCGAGGCCAAACAACCGACATTATTTACATACACCTCAGCTATACGATCGTCGACGTTGGCATATTCGGCTGGTCGATTGTCACAGCGGTATTTGATCTGATTCAAGGGCATTTCCTGGTGCTTAATGAACCACAACTGCAGGTCCAACATGGTGATGGATACAATAGAGCTAGAAAAGAGTCACTTCTTATTCTCTCGCGCGCGTTGGTAAGAATGCGCTTCTGCACTTGTCACCTCAAACTTTATTTACGTACTAACAATCGCTTAATTAACGAAGATGAATAACGAAGCACGCGCGTCTTGTGTGAAAAAGAAAATCACGGCATTAGGAGGCTGCGTGGCAAGACCAACAGCAGTCGCACGGCACCAAGAGCAACGCGAACTACAGGCGCAGCACTCACGCCTGTCGCGTGTCCTTAACGTGCTCTTG